TCCTAACACAAAGAAATGATAAGTGCTTGAGGGATGGATACCATAATTGCCCTGATTAAATCATCACACATTGTATGCTTCTGTTAATAGTAAAATGTACCCCACAGGTGCTCCATAAATATGTACAACTATTATATATCCATAATAGTTAAAAAAACAAACGTCACATGAAAATATTATTTATCTTGATAATGGAGATTTTTGGCTGTCCTAAATCGTATCTTGGTTGGTTTGCCCTCACCCTGGATATCCCTGAGCTGTTTAATGGGTGACTGTGGATTTCATAGCCAGGATGCTAGCCCTGGTGTAGACAGCACTGTTAAAGGAGCTTGGGAGTCTAGGTCTGGCCTGAATTTCCCACCTTCCTATGCATTTGGGAAATGTCCCAGCATCTTCATTATCTTCGACATTGAGGGGTATTACTAGGTAGCTGGTGGCAAGGTATTTACAGGAGTAGCTATTTTAGATCTTCTTAGCTATAAGAGGGTTATTTTACAGAACACAAATAATTCTTCAGGTAAAACTTGAACCATTGAAACCCAAGCACTGTTCATGATGGATTGTGGACTTTGGATTCAGAAAATGTATGGGGTTTATGTGGCTCTTCCACGTTTTCGGTGTGTGATCTTAGGTAAGGTTTTAAAGATCTTTGATTCTCAGTTTTCTTATCAGTAAATGAAAATAAAGGCTATTTATAGGGTGGTTATAAGGATTGAATGAAACAATCTGTAAAGCATCTGGCATGCATTAGACCCTCTATAAATGTTCTGTATCCCACTTCATCTGAAGAAAAGACATTGTTTTTCAGAAGTAAATCCTCAAGTTAGTGCCCTAGCTGATGATGGTCCTTTGGCCTTTTATTTGTTCTGTCACACGATTCGTGGATTCCAGTGGCTGAAGTTCACTGTTTCCCGAAGCTGAGAAGCCAAGGACACCAACGTGGTCTCTTGCTACCGTGGGAACTCAAGCGCAGGAATCATCTCACTCAGTTATTACTGGGAGGACCCAGGGCTCCCATATGGACCCATGGCAGCTCCTCCTCTCTTTCTACATCCCTTTTGCCCCCTTTTCCTACTCAACCTCCTTTGGGAGACCCATGTACACCACAAAGGTGCTTTCAGGGCTTCACCTGTGTCTCTGTGGGGCTGTCCCAAAGCCCCAGGACCACCTCCCACTGCCGCACAGTGACGGTCATGGCCATGAGGTGACACCATCACCAACCAATACGAAGCTGTCCACCATGTGTCCAAGCCATGCTGGGCTCTTTATAGATGGTGGGTGCTGCTTTCTCAGCTTGGGACAGGGCATGAAAGCAGTACTGCTGACTCCAAACTCATCCCTTCTTGTGGTGTTCCCCTTGGGGCAGGTACTCAGGCTAACTGTCCCAACCTTGGTCTCCAATCCCCTTTGCCTTGGCTGCCTCCCAGCTGGGGGTGGTCATGTGGGCACAGCTGGCCAAAGAGCCATAAGAAAGCACGGTTTGCTTAGAGTCACTGAAAACTTCTGCCATAGGCTTTGGTTCCTCTCTTCTGATGTAAGAGAGGTAGATGTGATCGGCAGAGCAGTTCCCGCTACTGGAGACTTTGAGGGAGAGGCCAAGAGGGTCTCGGAGACCTCAGCACTGGGCCACTAAACTGAAAACAGGTTCCTTATTTGTTTAAGCCACTGTGATTAGTTTTTCTGTCACTTTCAGTCCCAAGCCTTCCTCGCCTGTACACCACCCCCTCTTGTCATCACGGGACCCTCAGGAACAGCAGAGGATGAGGATGTGCCAAGGCCACTCTGTACTGGGGATGCTAATTCCCCTGTGAACCCACTGCACTGTGACTCCAAGAATCTCGTGTTCCTGCCATTCCATAACCTTAGGAAGAGTCTCCCAGGAGGCTTTCTGTTTCCTGATACAAATGGAGTTTTAGAGAGTCTACCCCAGAGTTTGGCCAGACCCGCCCAGACGTCTCAATCAGGATTACAGGTTTTGCTTGGGCTCCTGTGGGGCCTCCTGCTTCTGGAAATGCATGATAAAGCTCTTGACGGAGAAAGGAGATGGTCTCTGTGGAGTAAGTACCTGAAAAGGAAAGCAAGCGAGGCTTCTTCGGCACCATCATTAAGATGCCAAAATATGGCCATTTTTCTAAGAAATTAAAACAAATTTTACCCCATCCCTTTAAGGTGTGTGATGCAATGACATAGTGACATGCGATAACTTGTGTAAAATTGAGGGAAAGGGCATTGCAGAAGTGACAGGAGTTCACAAGCTGTGATTTTCAACGGAGGTGACTTCCAAATGAATTAGGTACAGTGGAGAATCGTCGTACTAACTCCACTTTCCCACGAGGCCCAGGTGCTATGCAGGTGTGAGTCCAGGTCCTAAGACTGCTCTTTCTGTGCCCTTCCATCTTTGGATCCCTGGCACTGCCTGGTCCTGGGGTCCCTCTGGACCCTCTGTTCCTCCTTCAAGCAGAGCCCTGCTCACCAACAGTCATGGACAACTGACCTGATCCTTAAAGCCCACCGCAAGGGGAATTATAGCTGGTATATATTCAGTTTCCCAAAGATCCTTTAAGTTTTAACTCCAAGGAGTGAATAGAATTTCAGGGACCAGAATAGACTTGGTTTGGGATGGGGAGGCTGACGGGCACTGGTGATTGGTGGAAGAATGACATTTTTCATCAGAAGGTAAAATGCATAACCCTCTTCCAAAATCCTGGTTATATATAAGGGTGGCATATGTTTATCTAGAATAGCTTCTGAAGAATCTGCTTTTTAAAAAGCTTCAGACAAAAACAGTCATCTGTAGGTTGTGGCAACTGTGGGTATGCTAATTTTATAATGAGCCAGAAATTGATTGATGGGAGGCCAAACAATGATGGGGTAGAAGACACTTGGCTCTGGGACAGGAGCTGGCTACTCTCCTGGGGGTGACCTGGGTGGCAGAGGGTATGGGAAGAAGAAACCACAAAGACAGATGTGGGGGGAGGATGTTCCAGCCATCAAGGGCTGGAGTGAGGCTCGGCAAGGCAGGAGGTCCTGGAAGTTGATCTGGCTGAGCCTTCTAGGGTGAGATTTGATGGAGGGATTCTTGGATTGGGTGATGGAGAAAGAGGGCCCTCTTGAACGGAGCCAGCAGCCCCAATCACTCTGGCACAAGGTGCACTCTGGTCTGCCCTCCATTCTCCAAGGAGAATGCTCATTGATGGGAGAAGAGGCCAAACAACAAGACCCCCATACATGGATTTCCCAGTTTCATCTGCATCCCTGGAGTTTGCCTCCTGTGAGTCATGTGTTACTGAAACGCAACATCAAGCATCAGTGCTTGCATCCTGGGTAGTGGGATCTTTTCACTTTGTTGTTTCCAGGAGAAGCCCAGGTACCTATGATGGCCACTCAATCCTGTTTGCTCATTGAGTGGAAAGACACATTGGTGAGCTGAAGTGAGACGGAGTGCTGGAGTCTAAGAGGGGAGAAGCTCTTGTTCCTTGCATGGGACTGGCCTCTGGTTTGGGGAATATCCTGCTGGAGGAGTCTCTTCTATCCCAGGGTCAGTAACTCCTCCTGTAACAAACTGGCCAGAGGCAGGCATTTCGCTTTTGGGGCTGGGCTTTTGCCTCTGTGGTTGCCAACCCAACAGATAGTTACAGCAGTGGAAGAGGGATGATTTCGGCACATTTTTCTCAGGGTTTTTTTATGAATTGGCCTTGGATGGGAACATTTGTGTACCATGCCAAGTGTCGTTTGGTTTTTTGGGCTTTCTTTTTTTCTGAGAGAGTCTTATTCTGTTGCCCAGGCTAGAGTGCAGTGGTGCCGTCTACACTCACTGGAACTTCCGCCTCCTGGATTCAAGTAATTCTCCTGCCTTAGTCTCCCCAGTAGCTGGGATTACAGGTGCCTGCCACCATGGGGGGCTAGTTTTTGTATGTTTAGTAGAGATGGGGTTTCATTATGTTGGCCGGGCTGGTCTCGAACTCCTGACCCCAGATGATCTGCCCACCTCAGCCTCTCAAAGTGCTGAGATTATAGGCATAAGCCACTGTGCCCGGCCCAAGTGTTTTAAATGCACTTGAATTTTTACTTTATCTACTTTTTAAAATGGACTTCACTTTGCTGGGTGTGGTGGCTCGCACCTGTAATCCCAGCACTTTGGGAGGTCAAGGCAGGTGGATCATGAGGCCAAGCCAATATGGTGAAACCCCATCTCTGCTAAAAATACAACAATTAGCCGGGTATGGTGGCGCACACCTGTAGTGCCAGCTACTTGGGAAGTTGAGGTAGAAGAATCACTTGAATCTGGGAAGTGCAGGTTGCAGTGGGCCGAGATTGTGCCATTGCACTCCAGCCTAAGTGACAGAGTGAGACCCCATCTCAAAAAAAAAAAAAAAAAGGACCCCACTTGTAGAGCTTACTTGAAAGCTTAAAGTATCCCCCTCCCCTAGCACACACACAGCATAGTGTCTGTCACAGCACTGAGGGGCTTCGTTGACTTCAATGCCTTCGTTTCACTGCTGCCTCACCTCTGCTAAGACAAGAACATCTTTTTGCCACCCGTACCTTTTGTGGCACCTGGCACATAGTCAACACTCATAAGCATTTTGCTGAAAATGCTTTTACTGCTCAAGATTCCTTTAGAGTATATCTTTCACATATGGTATGAAGTAGATGTTTGAAACATTACCCAGCTATTTCAAACCAAAGAATTCAACTTGACTTTAACCATCTCTGTATGTTAGGGAAAATTTTATTTTTTACCTGATGCATATAGATGACCACCCTCTGCCTCCATTGTGCCTAAATAAACAAGTGATTGGTCTTGCCAGATACAGTGTAGCCTGTAGTGGAGGATTGTGTGAAGTACTCCCAAAATAAGACACACAGCTGTTTATAATTCAGTAGCTCACTTTGGTTGATCTGTCTCTTTCTCTTTGTCTCTCTTCTTCCCTTTCTCTCTCTCTCTCTCTCTCTCTCTCTCTCTGTATCTTTGCCTCCCTCTGTCTCTCTCCATGTCTGAATCTGTCTCTGTTTTCCTATTTCTCTTTGTTTCTTTGTCTCTTTTTCTCTCTCCCCCTCAACTCTGTCCTTCTCTCTGTCTCTGCCTGTCTCTGGATCAACAGCTTCCATGTATGTGACATTGCCTGTGTGAAGTGGTAACTCTCTGCTGGACTATTTCCCAAGCTTCTGGCTGCTTTGGGTTACAGATGTTCTTATAAAAAGCGAGACATATAGAGGTTTAAAAAATTACCCCAGGAAGCCTGATACGGAAAGGAAAAAGAGATGCCCATATGTTTGTTTAGCAATAACTTACAATAATTAAAATATTTTGAAAATGACAACAAGTTGGGTCAGAGTGTAAATTAACAATGTTAAATCAATTAGCACTTAGTGACTACCTTCTCTGATGGGTGAAAAGATAAATCAGAATGGTATCTGTTCCCAAGAAGTGGCTAATTGATTACAGGAGTAAGGCGTATTTGGATATAGATACATAGAGATGAAGGCTAGCTAGCTAGATAACAGATAGATAAAATCTACATTTATTTAGTGTTTATAGTGTGCCAGGCTCCGGTGCCTTAATTATATCATCACAGCCTTTGCAACCACCTCGTGGAGTTGATATTATTATTATTGTCCCTTTACATCTGAGTAACTGAGGCACAGAAGGGTGACCTACCTGTCAGAGCTTATGTGACTATTAAGCGGGAAGGCAGAATTCAGAGCTGGCTTTGATGACGTGAAGACAGTGGTTTTTCCCATGTGCCACATCAGCACCCCGTCTTCCCCGCTTCCCTGCTTGTAGCAGTCCCAGCTCTCTGGTTCGTCCAGGATATGGTTGACAATGGACTGAGAAAGATGCTGTGGATAGGCAGTGAGCATAGTGGAGATCTGGGTGTCACTGGAGCCTCTGTCTTTCTGGGCTGACTTTCTGGTCTCTTGCCTGCACAGGGCTCAGGAGAAGTGTGGGTTGAGGGTAGAAGTGCGCAGATAGGACACCTCTTCCTGGTGGCGGCACCAGCAGCAGGTCCTGGCACATCAGAGACAGAGCCCAGTACAGTCCCCTGCCTCACGAATCCAGCGATTAAATCTGACCATGTTGGCAGGGTGAGGGGTTCTAGAGGGCATTCTTTTTTTTAAAAAAATTGAAGCTTAGGTTAGAATCAAGTTTAATTAGAATACTGAAATTTAGAATTAAGGTTAAAGAGAAATTCGAACCTCAGGAACAAAGTGGATCACCCATGTGAAGTTAGGAAAGGTTAAAGATGGATTAATTTTCAATTAAATAAGATTTTGGCATTGGAGTACAGGTTCTTTGGCAACAGATGTATTAGGGAGGGTAACACTAGAAAAGTCGAAGTCAAAAAGAAATGAGTCCAGCAGATTACTTGGGTTCAGTAAGCAAAAACACTAAAATATACATGAAAATAAGGCAGCAAAATGTCTATTTCTTAGGTGTTATTTGCATTCATGGGCTGAATCATAGTTCACACTGTTACTTTAGAGGCTCTTGGTGTAAGCCTACCTCAAGAACACCAGTACTTTGTTCAAAGGCTCAGGATATTTGTGAGACTGGCTTTTCTCTTTCCAGAAGATGAGCTTATTGTTATGAACAGGTACTATCACGTAAGCAATGCAATTGCCATGGAGATGATTACAGATGGATGCTTGAAGACAGGCTGGCAGTTCAAAGGGACCAGCTGAAGGTGGCTAGGGGTTGGTAGGTGTGGGCCATGGAGACAGAAAGCTCCCTGTCCACTCTGCTGAGGGACTTTCCCCTGTGGAAGAATGGGAGCACCTTTGCAACTGTCTGGTAAGGCTGATGTTTAAAAATGATGACCACACTCAGCAGGGCTGTAAATCTGCTGCAGGAGGGCTACTGGGCAGCCATGTGACAGCCCTGACTTCCTTCTTAATGTCTAAAGGTGGGAAATTTCCACTGAGAGGTAGAACACAGGAATAAGTTCATCCGTCCATTCATTGAACAAGGTTCTATTGAGAGTCGGTGAGTTCCTGGTTCCTTGGAAGGTGGTGGTCACTCCCAGAGGCATCGGCATGGTGTCTGCCCTCAAGAAGTGCACAGTCCAGTTGTGGAGAAACTAGAGATGTGCAGGGAATGTGAAATGTCATGTGCGATGGCAGAGGCATGTACAGGGTGAGGCACATGGCAGGTGTGCTGATGCTGACGCTGATGAAGAGCACCGGGGCCCAAAGGCATCTCAGGAAGCTCTGTTGAGCTGACTTTTGCAGACAGCCCAGGAGGTGGTGGTGAGAAAGGGCTCTCTAAACAAAAGGAAATACAGCATGTGGATAGTTCCAGAGGACTGAAACAGTCTTCTAGCTCAGGTATGAATTCTGCTCAATCTGTTGCTGTACTCTAGACTTCGGGATTGGATTATTCTTATAAGGGCTAGGCTTGCCTGCCCAGCTCCTGTAGGACACAGAGCATAGTATGGGGCACAAAGAAAGTGCTTTGTGGCAGAGCAATTGGAAAACTTTGCATCTTTGCTTTCAAATATAAGAATCAGCACAGTCAATACCACCTTCTTACTGGGTACTAAATGAAGCACTGTAAAATTAATGTTATTAGATATAGGACCCTTTCCATTTCAAATGGAATAAGAGGACACTCATTTGGGACAATTTAGGGAAACACCAGTCTGAATAGTAGCGGAATTAAATGAGCTACAGTAACAAAACTGAGATAGAAATGTTGCGTATTAGGAGTCTTTAGGGAGCTACAATTACTGAATATTTACCCATGACTTATTTCCTGTAACAATTATTTGTGAGTGAGTGCTTTGGATGTGTTGAAACAATGTGTTCTCTGATGCATTTTGAAACTTCCCCCTCCAAATACTGTTTATACATTTAAATTACTGTTGAAAGAAGAAAAGGACTGCTAGGTGTGAAGTTAAACTTTAGCCTAGTGTGAATGATTTCAAATCAGCCGATTCCAAGTTAATGAAATTTTACCTCAGTTCACACAGACAGGTTTACTTTGCCAACATGTGAACTATGCTTGGGGAAAGGGAGGCGGTGTAGGCCATGTTTCGGGGTGAACAGACATCGTGAGGATGATCAACAGGAAGCAGAATTCCAGGAGTTTCCATTTTCCTTGTGGGCCACACACCAAGAACACACAATTTTTAACACCATGTTAAAAATTGGTGCCCTTGTCTGGCACTGAGTGCTCAGCGCCTGCTCTTTGCACAGCATCTCCATCTGAGATGAGCCGAGTCACAGCCTGTCTCCAGGGAATGAAATACTTGCTCAAGACCAGTAGATGTGCTGAGCCCAGAAGGGCCACTGTCCCCACCCAGCACCATAGCGAGGCTGTGTCAGCTTGCAGTTTGGTCCTCGTGCTGGGAGGCAGCTGCTCCTTCTCCGCTGTCTGAGGATTTCAACAATGTCTTCCTCATGGCCCCTCATTACATTCCAGCACCAGGAGCGTCACTGCAAGGTGGTTGCACAGAAGCGGAGGTCTGAGATGGGTGGGAAGCCTTCTCTCTCCTTTAGGTTTGCATTTGAGGATGGGTCAAGGGGACTTAGATCTATTTTTATTTTTTACTTTTTTGAGGCAGGGTCTCCCCCTGTCACCCAGGCTGAAGTGCAGTGATGTGATCATGGTTTAATGTAGCCTGGACCTCCCAGACTCAATTAGTCTTCCCACCTCAGCCTGCCGAGTAGCTGGGTAGCCAAGCAGGTGCACACCACCATGCTTTGCTACTTTTTGAACTTTTTGTAGAGATGGGCTTTTGCCATGTTGTCCAGGCTGGTCTTGAACTCCTGAGCTCAAGAGATCCACCTGCTCAGGCTCCCAAAGTGTTGGGATTACAATGAGCCACCACGCCTGGCCTTATTCATTTTTAAAATGAAGGATCCAGGAGTAAAATTTTGGCCACTGAACAGAAGAACCTGCTGCACGACAACTCTGTTGATTTTTGTTGCTTGTCTGTTTGTTTGCACTATCTGCTGGGCTTTTGTTTGTTTTAAACTGTAGTTATCCTGACTTCAGATTTTTTCAGGTGATTTTATTGAGTTGGGGACTGGACTTGAAAAGGCCTGTCTGAAATCACCTGTCCTTGAAGTAGCCCGCAAGGGCAGTGCTTGGGCTCAGCCAGTTCTGAAGTTTGAGGGACCTGGGCGTTTGTAATGTATCTGTTTCTCACTTTTTCAAAATCACCTGATTGGATTGTGTGTGTGTGTGTGTGTATATATATATATATATATATATATATATATATATATATATATGTATATTTTGATGCAGAAACACTTGGACACGTGAAGCAAAGCTTTACTTCTATGGGCTTACTTTTAAAGGGAAAACGCTGACGTGTGCCAGATCATAGCCACCTTGAATCATCTGGTTGTATCTACAAATAGCTTGCACACCTCTTGCTAAATGTTTTCCTGTTGGCAGAAGCCTGCCACTGTGTTGAAAGACTTTCACAAGAGCTCTGGCCTCTCTCACAATCCTTCTTGCATTTTATTGGCTGCTTTTGCTGATAAGAAATGCCTATGTGATTTGGGCTGAAACTGCATCAGGAAAAAGTTAAAGTACTAAGTCCAGAGACAGCGTCTTTATTTATTTTTTTAAAAAGTATGTTTTGGCCTCTACAACCCCAGATATTCTTTCTCCTCCTCACCTCAGCAATTTGTTCACAGAGTGCATTACTCAGAGTGAGGTGGCCAGACTCACTTATTTGCCTGGGTAGTGCTGGTTTGCAATGAGTCGTCCAGGTGTTGTCAGTAGTAACTTCTCCTTTTGCTCTCAAAAATGACCTCATGTGGACAATATACAAAGTGGCCATCCTCCTTAGGGTCCTCCACTGCCGTTTCTGTATATGGCATTGACACCACATGTTTTGAAGGTGCACCTTTACCTCTGGCTGGTCCTGCGTGTGAAAACAATTTCATTCATTACGATGTTGACCTTGGTATAGTGGCCATGGTTTTACCCTTCGCTCCTTAGAAAAAACCCAAATGTACCTGGTTCCTCTTGACCAGTTTTCAACTGCAAACCGACGGTAGGGAGGTGGGCATCCCTGAATTCTCATACCCTTCACACCGAGATAAGGGGAGTACAAGTGGGTGGTCTTTAAAGAAACAGTTGAGGCTGGGCGCGGTGGCTCACACCTGTCATCCCAGCATTTGGGGAGGCTGAGATGGGTGGATCCCTTGAGGCCAGGAGTTCAAGACCAGCCTGGGCAACGTGGTGAAACCCTGTTTCTTTGTAATAATCCAAAGATTAGCTGGGTGTGGTGATGTGCCTGTAGTCTCAGCTACTTGGGAGGCTGAGGCGTGAGACTTGCTTGAACCCAGGAGGCAGAGATTGCAGTGAGCCCCACTCCAGCCTGGGCAACAGAGTGAGGCTGTGTCTCCAAAAAAAAAAAAAAAAAAAAAGAAAAAGAAACAATTGTGAGGGTTGAAAACTGAAAATGCCTTGACCTTCGGGTGTGCTTGGGCAGCCTCCTCCAGCCTCAGCCTGCCTCTCGTGGGGCTCTGTGATGTACTCTCTTCCCACAGGGAGCATTTGTGTGGCGCCATGCAGTTATCTGGGAGCCTGTTGTCCTATCCTGCTGTCTGTTGCAGTTTTATGATGTCTTTTCCCCAGATTCCTTCAGAAATGTTTCCTCACAAAGGCCTGCTTTTGCAATACCCCAGGGAGCGGTTCTGTCTCATTTTCCTGCTCTTTTTCTTGCTCAGCACTTAATGAACTTTTCTTGGCTGTTTCCACTGTCAGCGTGTAAAGTCTGCTGGTGAATGCCGGTTGGCTTTCTCTGTGCTACACTGGACCTTTCAGAGGCAATTATAGTCCTTCATGATCATGAGAAATTTGAGGGAAAGCCGAACCTTCCAAAAGTCTCTCAATGCAGCAGGAAGTGAGTCTGGCAATTAAAGGAAGGGAACAAAAAAACATCCCAAGGTCCATTCTGTTCTCATAAGACAGAATGGGGCATATACTGGAAAGCTCTATGGAAATAAAGTCAAAGGAAATAAAGAGATGCCGAGCTGATGTCTCCCTTTGTGTGTGTTGTTTATATGACACAATTGGTATGTGGCCCATTTATTTGCAGGTTAATAAATCATTAACAGAATGCTGGCGTTAGACCGGGCAGTGCTCAGAGACTCCTAGACAAATATGACATCATTCCTGACTTTAGGAAACTCTGAGATTAGTGGGGAGACTGGCAATAAACTGATGCCTAGGAAATAACATCCCAAGCGGGGAGACAGACCTGAAGGACCGTGGCCCAGGAAATAGACAGGCCAGCAGGGAGCCAGCTAGCCTGGGTACACGGGCAGCACAGGCCTGTCTTCAGGGGTGCCATGTCCAGGGAATTAGAAATACTAATAGTTCAGCATGGCAGGTTCATTCATTTGTCCATTCGAGTTATTGGTGGAGAGCCCATGCTTTACTAAATGTGAGGCCAGCATTTATGGAGACCTGGCTAGAAAAGTAGTAGAGACCCAGAGGCCTCAGGTGCCAACCAGAGCATAGAGCTTATCCGGAAAGCGCAATGCCATGGAGAGCCAGGGAGGCTCTAACCAGGAGCTGGACGTGATCAGACGTGTGTGCTGCCCATGGCGTGCGAGACATGCTCGGGATCCCAGCCTGGGGGTACCAGGGCTGGGCGGGTGAGAAGAGTCCCCAGATGGTATTGGGAAGGGGAAGGAGATTATGCAGCCAGTGGGTTCTGAGTAAATCAGATCTATTTATTGGGTAGAAATGAGAGGGCCAGTCTGTGCTGACATCTGACTTCTCTTTCGGGGAACTGCTGGATGCTGATGTCATCCCTGAGATCGAGGAAGGAGGTACAATAGAAGAAAGACGATAAATTCAATTTTAGAGGAGTCTGCAAAGTTAGAGGCGTTCATTGGAATTTTGGGGTGATGCCCATCAGACTGTCAGACTTCTAGGGTAGGCCATGGGGAAAGAGAAGTGAGCTGCAGATACAGACGTGGGGATATGGTGAAGTCATGGGTGTGGCGGACATCACTTCATTACCAAATGATAATTGAATATAACGACAGTTCCTGAGAGCTTGCTCTGAGCTATCTCCTGTAGTAAGCACTACTCCATTTACTCTTCAGTGCGACCCTATGAGATTCTGGTTTTAGTTGTCTCCACTTTACAGAAGGTGAATTTGAGACAGAGCAGTTTAAGCAGCTGCCCGAGGTTGTACAGCCTGTTATGAAGAACAGTGGGTGGAACATAGTATGGGTCATTTAAAGGAGGAGTGTGAGAGGGAGTTGGGAAACCTGTAACTGAACTGAAAGCCATGGGGGATGTTGCTAGGGGATCCACTGGGCTGGGCAGTCTCTGTTTTGCCTGGTGC